GGAGGAGGAGGAGGAGGACGACGGGTTGGGCAGCCCTCGCGCGCGAGCGCGCACTGTTGGCAGCGGTCTTGGCCAGGCAACGTGCTGGGCCCACGTGGTGTGCAGGGCCTGGCCGGGGCAGGCGATCGGCGCACTGTACCGCTTCTGGGCTCGGGGGGGGGGGAGCCTGGCCAGGAGCGGTGTGTGTGCTCGGCCGCGCGGAGAGGGGGGGCAGGGGGAGGGGGTCGCCACCCACCAAACCACCCCAACCCAACCCGAAGGCTTCAATCTGCCCTCCATTTCCGGTGGGGGGAGGGGGTCGGGGAACATAGAAAAACACATGGACCCCCCCCCAACTCGAAATTCGGGCCAAATTCGGGTCTCGGGTTGGGTTGGGGTGGTCTAGTAGGTCGTCAGGAAGGCTTCTTATCGGAAGCTGGGGCATATACATTACCAGTGGCGGGCAATCCCAGGACTTTTTGAGGGTCGGGGACGACGTCGGGGTGGTGTGGTGTATGCTTTGTGTATCCGCTTCACGGGGAAACAACGGAACATGTTTACACCAGGATCCCGTATACACCAGGATCTTCTTTCTTGTGCAAGTGTCAGTGCAGGGCCAGAAAAAGTATTGGCGTATAGAGTTCGGCTCCTCGTCTTAGACCCGAGGTCCTGTCGTCTCAATTCTTTCGAGCCGGGCGTTCTCGCTTTTTTTTCGGGCCGCGGGACCCTCACAGATCGATCTGGCTCGAACATGACGCAGAGAGATGGAGTCCAGATCTCGGGGCGTGATTCTCTATGATGTTGCATTTTTTTGCTGCGTCGGATCTCAGGGGAAGCCCCCCTGCTTCTTAGAAGGCGCGGGCCTTGTCTGTAGATGCAAGGCTGGCGCCTTCGGGAAGCAGCCTCCCTCAAGGAGGCCTTCCCTCCCCTCCCCCCCTTCCCCCTTGCTGCGCGCCGCCAACGTGCTCAGGACTCGTCCTCTCGCCCTCTTGCCCACCGGACATGGCCCTCCTGTCGACCTCGGCGTTTCTCCCCCTCCTCCTCCTCCTCCTCTCCTCCTCCTCCTCCTCCTCCTCCTCCTCCTCCCTCCTCCTCCTCCTCCCTCCCTCCTCCTCCTCCTCCTCCTCCTCCTCCTCCTCCTCTCCTCCTCCTCCTCCTCCTCCTCCTCCTCCTCCTCCTCCTCCTCCTCCCCTCCTCCCCTCCTCCTCCTCCTCTCCTCCTCCTCCTCCTCCTCCTCCTCCTCCTCCTCCTCCTCCTCCTCCTCCTCCTCTCCTCCTCCTCCTCCTCCTCCTCCTCCTGCCTCCTGCCTCCTCCCTCCTTCCTCCTCCCTCCTCCCTCCTCCCTCCTCTTCTCCCTCCTCCCTCCCTCCTCCTCGCTCCTCCTCCGTCCTCCCTCCTCCCTCCTCTTTCTCCCTCCTCTCGCCTCCCTCCTCCATCCTCCCTCCTCAGCAGGAGTCGTCAGATGCCGAGCCTTGACGGCAAATCGGCTTCACTGTTTAAGCGCGCCGACCACATGACGGCCCCGACGCATTATTCCTCTGCCCCCCAGTGCAATTACTTGTCCTGACCGCCGTCCCCCCTCTCGTTCCTCTCCCTTCTCTCCTCTCCCTTCTCCCTCCGTCCCTCATCCCCTCTTCCCGCCTTTCCCCTCGCTTCTCCTCGCTCCCTTCTCTTCCCCTCTGACTCCTTTTCCTACAGCTGCTCATTGCAAGTACTACCCGCCACTGTCCTGATCGCCGTGGTTTTCATAGCCCGCCTCTAACTCTCTAACCTCCTGTGTTATTCGGCCTCATTTTCTCTCTGCAGCGCCGCGCGTTCCCTAAGAGCCACGACCTGCGGGACGGGTGTACTGAGCTGGTCGTGAGCATGCTTGCGGACGTGTCCACGGAGACCGCAGGTGGAGCTCCCCGTGGGGCCACGATCCGCGCGAGCTGTGTGCCGAACTGGGCGTGGGTCAGCCTGCGAACGAGGTCTCAGAGGCGTAGGTGGAGCTCCCTATGGGGCCACCGTGCTCGCGACAGGTGTGCCGAAAGGAGTCTGGGCCCGCACGCGGACGCCGCCCACCGAGACGTGCGTGGAGCCCCCCGTGTGGCCACGCTCTGCGCGAGGGGTGTGCCGAGGAGGTGGGCGCTGCGGCGGCCCACGTGCGTCCCCCCCTCCTGCGAGGCCGCACGTGGAGCTCCCTTGGGGGCCACGATCCGCACGACGGCCGTGCCGAGGCGGGCATGGGTCCGCATGGGCGTCAGGTCGGGCATCGACAGGAGGAGGAGGAGGAGGAGGAGGAGGAGGAGGAGGAGGAGGAGGAGGAGGAGGAGGAGGAGGAGAGGAGGAGGAGGAGGACACCATCCTCGCGAGAGGGATGCCGAGCGGGGCGTGGGCCCGCACGCGGACGGCCTCCCGCGGAGGCCGCGGGCGGAGTTCTCTCTCGCTGGGTCGCGGCCCCGGCGGGAGGCGCGGAGGCCCGGGGCCCGCACCCGAGACAGCCCGTCGAGGTAGGCGCCCTACCCGCGCACACGCGCACACACGCGCACAGACGCACACGCACGCACACACACACACACACACATACGCACATGCGCACACGCGCACACTCGCACGCACGCGCACGCGCACACGCGCGCACACGCACGCACACACGCGCACACGCACACGCGCACGTACGCACACACGTGCGCGCAAACACACGCGCACAGGCATACACGCACACACGCACACACGTACACACGCACACGCACCCACACACAGGCGGGGATGCGGAACATCACACGTTTTTTTTGTGTTTGTGTGTGTGTGTGTGTGCGTGTGTGTGTGTGTGTGTGTGTGTGTGTGTGTGTGTGTGTGTGTGTTTCTGCGTCCCCTTGACCAGCTCCATGTGCCTGGTGTATTTTCCGCATTCTCCCTTTTCCGCCTCCAACTGCTATCTCCGTCGCACCTGCCGCCATTTGCTGGTGGTGGCGCTGCTGCTGGCCTCGCAGGTGTATCTCAAGCTCAGGTTCGACCCTTGGGGGTAGACGTGCGAGTAGGCACCCCGCAATGCCACTCCGCTCCGTCCAGCGGCACGTTCCACCCCCACACGCTCGCCGACCCCCCCCCAACGCGACGCACTTGCCCCAACGCCCAGCACCAGTCAGCCCATTCCCTTCCCCGCGCAATCCCCCTCTCACGCTCGTCAGACTATCCAGAGCATCCAGCGCGCTGCTTCCCCCCCTGCCCAGCTCCCCCGCGCTTTTCTGGAGCTCTGGCGGTGACCGCCCTGGGAGCGAGCCGTTGTGGTAATGCTTCGGGTTGCGCGTCGACCGCCCCCGCAGGTAGACCTGGCCGGCCTCAAGAGGCCCCCCCCAAGTAGTCCGCCGAGGTCCCAATTCCCTGGCGTCCCCTCCAGCGGCTCACCTGGGGCGCTCCGCGCCCCAGGTTTGGGGTGCTGAGACCGCCCTGGACTTCTGGGGAGGCCTGTTGAGGCCAGCCGGGACTACAGTCGGGTCGCTGAAGAAGGACCCCTTTTCGTTGGGGAGGGGCTCCGTGTTCCTTAAGTGTTTCACAGCTTGCCTCAGGTTTTCCTGGTGCTTTTGACGGGAAATCGAAGCTTGACCCCTGGAAAAAAGGAGCCTCGTTCCTGATTTAGGGTTCCTTAGGTCAACGCCCCGACTGTATCTGGGGGGGGGCTGCCTGTGCGCAGCCCGAAGCCTCACCGAGCGGTTGCGCCCAGTCCGCGACCGCCCGCCACCAGCCCCGCCCTTCTTGGCGCACGGCAGGTCCGCGGCGTGCCGACTCGCCGCCGGTGGCCCAGACAGGTTTCAGGAGGGAAAAATCACACAGACACAATTCATCTTCGATTCCCCAGGAAATATAGGAAAATATGGGAAGTGGGGGGGAAGACAGAGCACAGAAAATATAGGAAAATATGGGGGATCCTTTTATTTGTGTGTATTTGTTTGTGTGTCCCAGGGCCCCTTCGAGGTTGAACGCCGCGGGCGTTCCAGGTTGAACGCCGCCAGCGGCCCAGCAACGGCTGACATGGAACGACCTGGTGGTCGAAACGCCGCCGACCGTTCAGGGTTGTGAGGTCCGCGCGGTGTCAGAGACCAACGCCGGGGTCGTCACGACACGCACATACGCACACACGCACACACACACACACACCCGCCGTATCCGTGCAGCCGGCAGAGGGCACGGTGCCGCCAGGGGAGGCTGCAGCCAAGCACGTTTCGTGCGCGCGGCCGGCGAGCCGCGCACCCCCGCCTTGCGAGCGCGGGGAAGCTGCGCAGCGAAGCCGCGGCGTGTCGTTGGGGTAGTATACTCCAGATTTCGTAGTAAAAGGGAGGGGGTCTGGACCCTCCAAGACAAGCCATTTCAGACCTCCCCCGTGGGAGAACCCTCCAAAACATGGTCCCCAGACCCCCCAGGCCCTCCAAGATAGCCTGGAAGAGACCCCCCCAAAATGAGACCCCCCTCCCTTTATTACGAAATCTGGAGTAGCGCTTTGCGGCGGTCCCGTTGCCTCTTGCCAGGAGCGTGTTTTTTACATTCCCAGGCGATAGCGGGCGTGACTGGGGTGGGAGGGGCGGAGGGGTGGGCTGGTAACGTCACGTTTCGCGCCAGCGCCGTCTGGCAATGTCCAGGAACAACCAAAGACATGTCGGACGTCAGCACGAATCGTGACTACCTGGGAGAGGGGTGCGGCCGAGGCCGGTAACGGTCGCTACCGCGAAACATACAAAGCGCTCTCCAGTGAGCGTCCTTTTCGAAGAGAGCCAGGAATCGATGAACAAGGACCTGCACAAGTATGAGCTTTTGGAGCTCTGCGCGGAGTTCGTGGATCGGCGTTGGAGGCCCCTCGTTGGCTCGCGGAGCTCCCAAGAAAACGGCTCGTGCAGTTTTTTCCCTGCCTCTAGGAAGGGGCTCGCCAGGCCTGCTGGCCCGCCAGCGCCATGTCGTACCCCCAGGCTCGAGGCCGTTTGGCTCAGGCGCTCGCCAGCCTCTCGATAAGTGCAGGGCGGCGCGGAAGTTACCCCAGCCCGCGGGATGCTTAACCCAGAGGAGTACAACTGCGACCCCCATCTGCTTGTGCCCGGGGCCACGGTCACCACTGGCGAGCTCGTGGCCAGCGTTGCCAGCGCGTCGCCCGACGCCCGGCGCAGCTTCGAGGTCCTCGCGAGGCTGGTGCGCAACGTGCTCGAGCAGCCCGCGGAGCCGAAGTTCTGGGAGGTCGCCAAGGCGAACAGCAGCGTCCAGAGCGCCGTGGTCGACGTGCCCTCGTGCGCCAGGCTGCTGCGCCGCTGCGGCTTCGCGGACGACGGCTGCCGCTTCCGGCTGCAGGGCAGCGGCCTGCGCTGCGGCGAGGCCTTCCGGCTGGCGGCGGCGCTCGCCGAGCAGCCGCTGGCAGCCGACCTGGCCGAGGACCTCGGCCGGGCGCTGCGCGGCGACGCGGGCGCGCAGGCGCCGCTCGGCGGCGGCCAGGGCGTGGCCGCCGCGGGCGCGGAGCCGGCCTGGCCCGCCAGGTACCTCAGCATGGCAGAGGCCGAGGCCGCGGGGCGCCGGCTCTCCCGGCCCGGCTGGACCTGCTTCCAGGGCTGCGACGCCGAGCCCGAGCAGGACGCCCACGCGATGCCGCTGGCCAGCCTGGAGGCCTGCATGGAGTGCGCGGAGACGCACGCCTTCGGCGGCTTCTGCGCCTTCGAGGGCACGGCCTACTTCAGGGAGACGCCCGGGGCCGAGCTCTGGCAGGCCCTGCAGCGGTGCCCCGCGGGCTACGAGGGGGCCTGCTTCTACATCTACCAGCCGAAGGTGCTCGCCCAGCGGGCGGAGGACGACGAGCTGGAGAGGGCCCTGCGGCTTTCCCTCGGCGACTGCTGAGCCGCCTTGCGGCGCCTGCGCCTGCGCGCCAGCCTCCCGGCCGGAAGGTCACGTGCCTCCCCCCGGCGCGCCCGACGCCGTGCAGAAGCAGAAGTCGCCATACCTCAAAGGCACCCGACCCGCCCGCGACTTTGTGAAAGCAGCAGTCACAACCGGAGCTCACGACCCCTTCCTCTTCAGCCGGCGGGTACCAGGGTTCAGTGCAAACGGGGCTCAGCCAGAGCGCTGGGTTCTGCATGATCCTGTAATGACGGGGTCTGGCCGAGCCAGGTTTAGGAGCCGCTCGCGGCCCTGCAGGCGGTCTTACAATATTTGATGAGCTGGGTGTGGGCCCCCCAGCAAAAAAAACTGCAGCCTGGTTTGTTCGAGATCGGCTGAGCTGGGTTTGCGCTGAACCCGGGTAGTCCACGCCCAACTCTCCACGCGACCCTCCGAGCCAGGTCGGCCCTTCGACGGGCTCACCAGGACCCAGTCCCCTGTGTGTGTGTGTGTGTGGGGTCCGGGGGCGCCCGCCGGGATCCTCTCGCGACGCGCACTGGGCGGATGTCGCGTCTGGCCACCGCTTGCCAGCCAGAGGGCCCCTGGGAGCTCCCCGCCCTACTACATCGGGCTGCTTTTTCGCCCAGGGCATTCTCTGGTGTCAAGAAACAGAAGAGGCAATTTTTGGATTTCCTGGGCTCCGAAGGCCCCTGCCCACCCCCGGAGGCCCCAACTGGAGAAGCACAAGGGGCCATGTGGAAAGCCACGGCTCGTCGGCGTGCCGGGCCCTGGGTCCCGGGAGGTCCGTGGAGGTTGCCAGAGGTCCCCGGAGGCTCCCCTCGGCCACGCGCAGAGGGGGATAGTCTAGGGTCTCCTAAATGGGGTCGGAGCAGATGTTGTCAGAGGATCGCGCCACATCGCCAATGCATTGCCGATGCGGCTCGATGCGGAGCTCGATTTTCTTCACGCGGTCGTCGCCGATGCATCGCCGATGTATCTCTGACGCGGCGCGATCCTCCGACCCCAACTACTCCGACCCCATCTAGGAGGCCTCTAGGTAGGGGGAGGGGGTGAAGGCTTCTTCGAAGCACCCCTGCTTCTTAGAATGCGCGGGCCTCATCTATAGATGGAAGGCCGGCGCCTTCTAGGGAGCAGCCTCCTTCTAAGAGGCCTTCCCCTCTCCCCCTACCCCCTCTGTGCGCGCCGCCAATCCCCCCCCCAGGCGTGCCGTTGTTTTTGGAACGATTTTTGAGAGTGCTCGATATTCGCTTCCAAGGGCAGCACCACACGAACCCCGATCCCCACAGCCTGTCCACGAGCCTCCCGAGGATTGTTGGTCTTTTCTGGGCTCCCAGGTGAGTGACGTAAAAAATGGGGTCGTCTGCGCCGACATGGGCGCGTAAACTGTCCGCGTAAGGTCGCGCGTAAGCGCCCTCGTCTCCAATGCAGCGTGCCGCGCGGGCGGTCCGCGCAAGCCGCCGCGTAAGGGCGCTACGTCACCTCGCGTAAGACCCCTTTTTTTCGTCGCTCAGGTGGGGTCGGAGAAGATGGGGTCGGAGGATTGCGCCGCGTCGACGCTGCATCGGCGATGCGGCTCGATGTGGATCCCGATTTTCTCTCCGCCGACGTCGCTGATGCGTCGGTGAGGCATTGACGATGCGTCGCCATCCTCTGAGTCCATCTATTCCGACCCCATCTGGGAGGCCTCTAGTCGTCGTTGTCGTAGTCGTCGCCGTCGTCGTCGCCGCGGGCGCCGACATCGGCGGCGTCGTCGTGGTCGTCGGCGCCCCGCAGCGGTGGGCGGAGGAACCACCGCGTCATGAAGTGGCGGGAGGGCTGGCGGTGTGGGCTTCCGGCGGCTTCCCCCCCCTCGCGCGCGGGCCGCCGCCTGGCCATCGGCGGGCAGCGGCGGCCTTCGGCGTGGCGGGCCTGGCAGCGTTGCGGCGGCGATGGTGACGGCGACCACGGCGACGACGTCGTCGTTGTCGTCGTCTCGGGTCTTCTCCAAGCGTGCTTCGGCAAGTTCTCTTGTCGTCACGGCTGGGCGCAGCAAGAAGAGCACATGCCAGGACGGGGCCACGGACGGGTCCAAGTTCCAGGGAACGGTTGCAATCTCGTCTACTTCCTCTTCGAGGAGGAGGAGAAGGAGGTGGCGGAGCAAGGAGCACGAGGAGGTGGGAGGAGGCTGAGGACAAATCCTTGTTGCGAAACCATGTGCTTGTATAAGTTTTCGTGACTCTCGATTTTGCAGTCCTTGCGAACCTTAGGTTTTCGAAGGATTTCGGCATGCGCGAGAGACGGCGCGCACGTGTGCACTTCATCCAACTTTTTCAAGGGATTCTTGAATACTGATAATTTTTGATACACGAGTGTGCGCGCATAGTATATGTTACAGAGGATGAGGGGGGGCCAGACTCCAGCCCGGTTGGGATGATGTGAACTCATGGGGAAAATGCAAGTTGCAATGCGCGAGGCCTTCCCGCTAAGTCGGGGGGGTGATGGGGGTAGAGTTTATTCAAAAAAGGATAATTACTTGTTGTTCGCAGTGAGTTGTCAACTCCACTGCTCGCGCAATCGTCCCACCCACCCACCCGCAACTGTGATGCCTGCCCGGCGCTGGCTGGCGCATCGCTGCGGCCGCGCTAGCGCGCGCAGGCTCGCGCGCAGAGCAGCCGGCTAGTCTGGCGCGATCGCGGCCTCCGCGGTGGCGCTGGCCGCTGGGGACTTCCCAGCGCGCCTCACAGGCTGCGCTGACGCACGGCATTTCAGTGCGAGTCGGTGATTCGGGCGGGCGCGGTATGATGGCGACATCGACAACGGCCGACGCGATGATGATTGCAGCGGTGCTAGTGGCGACGATGACGATGACGACGGCCAGGCAAATGACGCTGCCGATCCTGATCACGCCGGTGACGATAATGATGTCCATGTGTCGCTGATGAAGGTTTGGAAAAGGGGGTTTCGACAAGCGCGCGGCCGACGGGCGCGAGTGGCCCGCATGGTTTTTATTCGTAGGTGTACGTGACGCAGCCGACTCTTTTGGGGACTGGCGGATGTTGCGTGTTGCTCCCGAAGGCTTCCTGGGCGCCTTTTGGGGGCTTCTTGGGATTCTTTTGATTGTCGAATGTCCTTCGGCACATCCCGCCACTGTGCCTGGGCCGCGGCTCCGAGGCCATGCGGGTGGCAGTCGGGGTCTCGTGGGAGGCGTTGCGGGAGCGTTTGGTGAACAGTTTTTGAACAGCCAGGGGGCCTCTTGAAGGCCCGTTGGGAGCTTCTTTCGGGCCTCTCAGAGCTCCCTGGGGGCGTGTTTGCGGCTTCTTGGGTCAGCAGGGGGGCGGTTTGGGGTCGAATGCTCGAAATGTTCGTCCGGGTTCCCCCATGCCCCCTCTTGGGGCTGTCCTGGGGCCCCCCTGGAGCGTCGTGGGGGCTTCTTGAGCGGCCTTGGGGCCAGCTTGGGTCTTCTGGGAGCCCTTTTGAGGACCTCTTGGGCCGTCTTGGGGCGATTCTGGAGACTTCTTGGGCTGTCTTGGACGTTTGTGAACGTACAAGAAACGGATGTACTAGACATGCGCGTTTTCCCTTGGGGATGGGGCGATTTTTTGTTCTCTGAGGCCGTCCTGGGGCGCCTCTTGAGAGCTTCTTGGGGCGTGATGGGGGGCCTCGTGGGCCGTCTGGAGGCCAGCGCGGGCGTTTCGGATCGATCTTTCGGAGGCTTTTGTGGCTCTCTTGCGTTGTCTGCAGGGCCTCTTGATACGTACACCTTTTGGCCTGTTTTGGAACCCTCCGTCCCTCCAGTGATGCGTTCGAGCGGTCCCCGGGGGACCCCCCTCCAAGTCGACCGGACTGGGCTCCCGGGGGGAAGAGGGGGTGACATCTCACACGCCGATGAGGCTCAAGGGAGGGGTCGGCGGCTTTGACAGGGGTCGTGCCCCCCCACCCACCCAAGCGCGCAAGGGCGTTCGAGTGATTTTGACATGCGCGCGTGTGAGGCCCGTTTTTTAGTACTTGATGTGAAGTTTGGAACGCCAATGGTTTCCTCAAGGATTTGGAAGAGCGCGCAGACTGTTTTTGAAAACTCATGTTGCAAAACCATGTGTTTCAATGTTTCCGAGGCGTTCGATTTTGAATCCCTGCGAAGCTTGAGGCTTTCTGAAAGATTACGGCATGCGCGCGCGACGGCGCGCGTTTGTGCACGTCGTCCCCTTTTTTGCAAGAGGCTCTTGAACATGGATGAATTCGGATAAACGAGTGTGCGCGCATCTAGTCCGATTTTTTGCAAGGAGGATGGGGGTGGTGTGTGTGTGTGTGTGTGTGTCACTCTGTGTGTGGGTCGATGCCGGCTGGCTCGGCTGGATGGTGCGAATTCATGTTTAGAGCGATGGGCAGAACCGTATGTGCATTGCACATCCCCAGGGGTGGCGAATAATCCCAGGTGGGGTGGGTGGTGGTGGGGTGGGGGTGGGTGGGCGGTAGATCTTAGTTCCTTCTGTGAAAAGAGAATCCACCTGGCAGAGCTGGAGTCTGTCAGTTCCCCTGCTCGCGAAATAATTTCACCCTCCCGCCCACAAGTTGGCGTGCAAAACCAACGCGGCGGCGATTGCGATGACTGCTCGGCACTGGTTGGCGCATTTCTGTGGCCGCGCGCGCGCAGAGCGGCCATCTAGTTTCGCGCGACCGACGCGGCCGCGGTGGCGCCGACCGTTGGGGACTTCCCAGCGCCCCATAACAGTCCGCGTTGGTACGCGGGCACTTCAGTGTCGGTCGGTGACTCGGGCGGTCGCGGTACCATGGTGACGTCCACAATGGCGGGAACGATCGTGATAGTAGCGATGACGGTGGCGATGATGGCGATTACGACGGCAGGGCCAATGACGGCGCCGACGCTGGCCACGCCGACCGCGGTTATGATGTCCATGTGTCGCTGATGAAGGTTTGGGGGGGGTCGACGTGGGTGCGCGGCCGACACGCGCGAATTGCTCGCGTGGCATTAGTTGACAGGGCTCGCGCCCCCCAGTTTGAACAGTTAGTTATGGTTTCCTAAAGAAATCGCGCAAACTCGATCTTGAAATCTTTTGCGGCACTTGCGTTTGTTTTTGGGATTCCGATTTCGTAAACTGGCGAATCTTTGAACGTGTGTTTGATCAGTGAGCGCGCGCACAATATCAGTTTATAGGGGTGAAGTGTGTGTGTGTGTATTCTGTGTGTGTATGTGTGTGTGTGTGTGGGTGTGTGTGTGTGCGTGCGTGTGCGTGCGTGCGTGCGTGCGTGCGTGCGTGCGTGCGTGCGTGTGTGTGTGTGTGTGTGTGTGTGTGTGTTTGTGGGCGGTAAAGGGTATTCCTGGGACGGGATATAGGCATAGCGAAACGAGAAATGCGGCATAATCATGTGTACGTTGTGTTATCCCAAGGGCGGCCGATGAACCCGAGGGGGGTGGGGGAGAGTTTATATTCCCGCGGGAAAGGGACATTGCTTGGCAATCTGTGTGGTGCAATGCGCCTTGCCGAATCGGAAATTGTCGAGCCCACAGTTCAGAATCGTCCCCCCCGCCCACCCGCCCGGCCATGGCGGTTTGGCGCTGGCTGGCGCATTCTTGCGGGCGCGCTAGCGCGCGCCAGCTCGCGCGTAGAGTGGCCATCTAGTTTGGCGCGGCCGACTCCGCCGCGGTGGCGCTGACCGTTGGGGACTTTCCAGCGCGTCTTCCAGGCCGCAGTGACGCGCGGGCGCTGCAGTGCGGGTTGGTGATTCGGGCGGGCGCGTTGTCATGGTGATGTCGCCAACGGTGGAAACAATGCTGATAGTAACGATCATGATGGCGATGATGGCGATGATGACGGCAAGGCCAATGACGGCGCTATTGTTGGACACGCAGATGACGAAGATAATGTCCATTGGTCGTTGATTAAGGTTTAGGGAGGTTTTCGATATTTCCGCGCGGCCGACGCGCGCGAGTGGCCCGCGTTGTATTTTTTAACCGGGGTCGTGCCTCCCCAGCAAGCGCGCAGGGGCTTCCGAATGATTCCAACATGCGCACGCGAGAGGCATTCTTTGTTTCGTTATTTTCCATCGACAGGTTGAACATTTTTTCATTCTTTCGGTAGGAAATCGCAAGACCGCGGGCGCGCGTTTTTCGTTTTATTTATGTGTTGGTGTGCTGATTTGTAGGAACGAATCAGAAGCGGGACATTTTGTAAGGCTTTCGGGCACCTCGATGTTGACATCTTCACGGGGCCAGAAGTGTTTGAAGCTCCGAAACGCGCGCGGGACGACGCGCGCGAGTGGACAGGAGCAATCTGCGTGGTGCAATCCACGTTGGAACGGGCGGCGACGAAACGGCGATGGTGACGACATGGCGGCCAGAGCGGCCCCTAGGCCCAGGCGAGGGGGCGGCGACGGCGGCGACACGACGGCTACAGAGGCGCGCAGGCTCAGGCGACGGGCGGCGACTTGGCGGCGACGGGGCGGCGACTGCGGCGACATGGCGGCCAGAGCGCCAGGCAGGCCCAGACGACGGGCGGCGACGAGGCGGCGACGGGGCGGCGACGGGGCGGCGACGGAAGCGACATGGCGGCCAGAGCCACCCGTGGGCCCAGACGACGGGCGGCGACGAGGCGGCGAGGGGGCGGCGACGGCGGGTACATGGCCGCGGGACCGACCCGCAGGCCCAGTTCCGTGACCACGTGGCCAACCCCTTAGTGCAAACCTGTTTGGGGAGAATGGAAACAGATCGGGGATCTTCGAATGCGTGTCTACTTGCAGTCAACCCGCATAATACGGATGGGCGACCTTCCCAAAGGTACCCCCCCTTGCATCGTCGCCTCCTCGGCCCCTCCCTGGTCACTTTCGCTGGCCGCGCCC